AAGCTGGCAAGAGCTTCTGCACCACTGTACTTGGACATCTTTCCAATTTCCAGAAAAATATCACTAGCATCATGAAGGGCTAAAACAACTGAACCAACTCGAGCAAACCTGCAAGAGGCAACATATACCAACCAAACATTGTGTCAAAATCTCCCTGATTCTTTCTCTCTGACCGTGTGTGTGTGTCTCTCTCTCTCAATCTTGATCATCATTTTACATTACCCTGATATTCAATTTTCACTTTTTCACTCAGAAACAAGGATTATCATCACAGGGTAGACATGCTAATGCTTCATAGGCTTAAACATTATGGCATGGCAATCCAACAAATTAGACAGAGATTGGAAATACTAGAACTATACCTGCATATGTAGGATAACCCTATAAGAATGGCAGTGGCAATATGATGACCCATTGAAACCCCAAAGTCTGAGCGCCTTGTTTCCCAAAAAATGAGGGCAAAGATTGAATATGTGTAAAATCCACCAGTATACATATAAAGTGCCTTCAATTTTGACCTGGATATCCACAAGACAGGAGCTCAACTAATTTGACAGTAGGAAGATATTCTAGTCAAAACATGATCAAACAAACAGAACAACAGGAAAGCAGCAGATAAAATGGTCAATCCTAATGAATGTCATTTGAGATTAAAAAAATCTTGCTTTTAGATCATTGAGAAGGACAGCTAAATGGGCCTTCCTCATCCCTTATCTCTCAGGTTTTTGTCATCATTCTCTTCCCCCAAAATTTCAATAAAGCTATTGTCTACTAAGAACTCAAAAGGTGAAAGATAAGGTACAAAGAAATCATACTTGTACTTCTGGTCAGGCCAGGCCTGATCCCCAGGCCCTACCCAAAAGTATCTTGTCTTTGTGAACCACGGCTCATTGTAAGTCACAGCAAGTGCAAATAACTCTGCAGAAAGGTAATAAATACATTTCCATGCTGATTCCTTGAATTTCCTTATTTTCTTTCTCTGCTCATCTGTTACAGTCTCCTGCATCACATGCCCTTTTCCAAAAATCAATCTTTTGCCCACTTTCTGCAAAAGGTACTTCCATTTTAGATTGCGCAGAACAAATTCAAAGAAACTACAGAAGATCTGAAAGACTAGAAACAGAATTATCCAGTGCATGGAGCAAGGCTTTCCTCTTTTATGAAACTAAGAGAAGTTGTGAGGAAACAAGTAGTCAGCATGCAAATCACATGAAAAGAAGATAATAGAATAGCTTCCTCCAAACAATAGGCATTAGGTGGTCAACTTGCATTAGGCCAAACTCTAGGAGACTGCTGGTTTAAATATGACATGTACATCTTCTGATTGCTACTGACAAAAAACCACATTCATCATCTTGGAAAATTCTTAGCTGCTGATCCCTGCTCAAATCTACCACAAGCAGTTTCCAAACACCATTTTCATATTTTTGAAACATGGAAATTGCCAATTTACTGTTTCGGATGCCCATCTAGTGATCGAGGTCCCTAATTTCAATGGTCATAACAGATTTTTCCGAAAGAAAACCAAAGTAAGTTGATAGGATACTGAAAATAAGGAAAGATCATGCATGCATAACTAAAACAAGATAGACACCTAAACCAATGAGTGCAAAGTTGAATCAACAATTAATCACAATGCTAGTGGTTTAACTTGGTAGGGAACCTAATCATGACAGCTCAATGTTTAAGCAAGGAAATAGAAACATAAAGTTCAAGATAAACAGGCACTGGTGAAGGGAAGCCATAAGGGCATCCAAACCTGATTATCAGAACAGAGATATTACACGAACCATGATTTGAGGACCCATGTAAGTGCACCAGAATGGAATCCATTAACAACTGGTATAATCTCATACATACTAGACGCCCAGAACTTCCCACTAGGCTACAGTACTACCAAAGGGGACAGCCTACAATTTTACCCAGCTCCCCAGCTCATTATTCAGCTTTAGAGCATAGAACCTTCACAGACCACAAAATAACTATTTTGTTTATTCTAGAATGACATTCACAAGCCTTCTGCATTGCAAGTTGTAATCTAACTCCAAACACCTCACCTAGTCAGCTTTAAAAGTTAAACAAGCTTCTATTGCTCAACTAAATAGCTTAGCTCCCAATACAAATAGCAAAATCCAGTTGTCAACCAGCATTCTAGAATCCAGCTAAGCCAATAAGCTTGAAACAGAAACTATCCTGCTTTGAATGAGTTCCATCTTCAAAAGCTAACACTTACCTAGTCCAATCGAAAATCATTCCTTGAAACTCAATACAGGTCTGAAGCAAATCAATCCAATTTTCAGCTAAAAACTTGTCCAAGCCACTCACTCCAGTTACACAAAGTTAAATCCAAATCATCAAAATCAAACAAAATCGATCAAGAATAAGCACCAATCCAACATAAAAAACCATCACTTGTGTAAAATCAACCTCAGTTAATTACAAGAAAAAACACAAAAAAGAAGCATACACTTTCAGCTGGAATAGATGAATATATGCAAAAGCAATAAGCTCATACTAGTATTCAGCCAATTAAAAAAGCAACTTATTCTCCATAAAAACAATCACTCATCAAAATCCAAATCAATGGATAGCTGAAACATTCAAAAAGATCAAAACTTTACCTCAAATACGAATCTGTCAAGAAAGAATCTAATGAAGAGAAAGAAGATGGCAAATACAGGAAGCACCAGAAAATCTTCATTCTCTGGGTAAGATTCATGATCCCAATTCATGGAAACCACCGATTCCAACAAACCCATTAGAGTAAAAGTCCTAAAAATCAAATGATTATTGGTTTGGATTTACAAGATGTATGATTTGAATGGGATGTATCAGAGATGAGAGTGGCAGTGGATCAGAGGCATTGGTCGTCTACAAGCATGGAAGAACTGAACAAAGCTTGGGTCCTCTAATTTTTTTTCTTCTCCCGAAGACTCGTAAATGGAGTCCACTACTTTTTAATTTGTAGTTTGGAAATCGGCTTTTACGGCTCGGTTTTATTTTGGTTTTCCAATAATGAGATTTTGGATTGCCAATCTGACCTTTGACTTGGAGCCCATATTGACCTAGCAATTCAGTCGAATTGGGTTTGGATTAGTGATTTGGCACAGGATTCTACTTGAAAAGATTTCAAATAGATAGGTTTGAAATACACAAATTCAAGAATTAATGCTATATACAGTGACACTTTATGTATCATCATAACTAATCAAAATTGGAATTTAATTTACCATTGGATATTCAATTGCAACTTGGCTAGAGCCAAGATGTAAGATCTACCATTGATAACACTAATTAGGGTAAGAATTGAAAGCTTTAGGGGTTAGAAGCAAAGTTTGCATTTATGCCTCTCTTCTCTTCATATTTAATTTTTTTTTTTTTTTTGGGGTCAAAAGACAACATCTACTCCTACTCTAGCATAATATTTTAAGTGAGGGGAGGCCAACTAGGCCAATTGAACACGGACAAGAACTGAACTACTATCAGACTGGACAATTATATTATGTACTCAAATGAATTTTGGAAAGGGAGGGGAGGCTCAACTGGACCAATTGAATACCTGACGAGAACTGAACTACTATCGGACTAGATAGTTGCATTACGTATTCATATGGATTTTGGAAAAGGCACAGTAATGAAAGGTAAGATTTAAATCCTCAAGTTCTTGTCCTATCAAGACTTAAAGTCTTTGATAGTGGCCAACACCCTAAATGCGGTTGGTTCCATATTTAATTTTCTAGCAATTGCACCAATTTTGGGTAATCTCTTTCCTGAAAACGTAGTTGGATCCAATAGTGACAATGAGAGGAAGCTGTGGAAGGCACAGATCGTCAATCCACTTATCATCCATACAAACACAGAATTTGCCAAAATAACTCCCTTCACAAAAAATATTTTTAAAATAATTCAATTTCATACTTTATTCCCGTAACAGCCCTTTCTGCTGTCCATTCTATCATATTCAAAAGGAAATGAGAAAAAGGGTAAACCCTTTTATTAGTCATTAATACAGTTCCAAAGAATCCATCTTTTCCTTTGGGACTATAATACTCTACTCTATCTCAATTTTAAGCTAGGCTTTCTCTAACATCATACTATTAATAAAACCTACGAGACTGCCTTAATTTTGTGTTTTGCAATTGTGAAGAGAAAATTCCAAGAACCTCCTACTAGGTTTATGATAATTTCAGTTGGCTTCCTTGAGATCTTCAATGTCACATCTATCTTCTTTATTTTTAATTTCAATGTAACAATGTCGGCCTAGTATCGATACAAAAATTCATATGAAATGCTAACAAGTATTTTTACTCCTAAATTACCATTACATGATTTTTTTTTTTTAAATGTAAATGGGAGGTATCGAATTTAGGTTCTTGCATTATACTCTTTTCTTTCTTATCATCCGACCCATCCCCCAACCATTACATGGCTTATTCAAAGTTGATATGACAAATTTAACTAAAAAAAAATAGTTTGGAAATAATACATCAAAGTGAAAGAAATTTATCTTAAAAACTGTTAATTTTTTTTTTTTATGTGTGCAAAGAAAATTCTTCATGTTATAGGTAAAATTATTACAGCAGACTGATAGTCTAGCTTGAGTTTTCATGCTTTGTCAGAAAAACTACAAACATCGCCACACCTTTCCGATTTATTGTACCTCAGAATCTTTGGAAGTATTATTATACTTGATTTGAAAACTTGTATTGTAATGCGGGATTTCTTTTTCATTCGTTCCAATTATTTGATTTTTGTTCTTATTGAACATGTGCCTTTTCATATAGGAAATTATTTATTGTCCTGTAATGAGTGTATTTTTTAAAATTAGACCCTACCTTGTGAACCCATTTGAAAAACACTACAGAGCTTTACGTGGGAAGAAATGAGAGGATTTCTTATTCTCAAAAAAATGTAGACAAAGAAATAGATGGGGCATAAGCCATGAAAATGCACTCATGTCATTGATGCTGTATGGTAAAGGGCTCCTCCAAGAACTATCATATGAAACTATCATATGAAACACGGAATTGTCAGCATCCTTACACATGGTGCTTTGTTGCTATTATTAATGTAGAAACACATAATACAAACAAAAAATATGAATGGATCGAATCCCCAGCTAAGGGAATGCTGTCCCGTTGTCTAAAACTTCCAAGAATTATCTTCAAATGGAGCCCAAAGCCAAGAAAAAGTCAAGAAGCAATCAAAGAAAGGATAGGCATTATAGCCTTACCAGAATAATTCAAAGGGGGGGCCTCTCTTTTGTCTTGTTCCAAGCAGAAATTAATAAGAAGCCAAAGGGAGAAATTTAGGAGGGGAAATGAGAATGATGGACAAGTAAAGCCCTCCGAGACTTGCATTTAACTTTGGCATTCAGTTCAGAGTTCCCATCATATGGGCATATGGGGGTGATGGTAACTCCTGTAAAGCCACTTGAAGTCGCAGTCTGGTAGTGGAATCCCTACTCCACTCCAAAATTACAGAAGATGAGAGTTCTCGAGCATTGGCTGCCTTTTAACTCGTATCTTTACTTAGATTCCATTCCATATGGAAGAGGAATTATTTGCTATGGGATTCTACCGAGGAACTTTCATCTGTCATCCTAGTAACACAAAAAAAGACACAAGCCTGCTTTACTGGACAAACAGGAAAGGCAAGCAAAAGGGCACAATAGAAACAGCATAATGAAACAATCAACCTGATGGAAGACGCCAAAATACAGTTGGGTTCACTGTATATTTCACATGAGAGGCCGCTCTTGGTACATGACAAACGATTAAAGGCTTAATATTAATGATAAAGGAGTACTGGAGGTAGAGGCCCTCTTCTAGCTATTTGTGATTATTGATCTTATACATTCTCCCGAGTGGGGCATATCTGAAATGCCATTTCAAAAGCTGCCTTGTATATTTATGAGGTGGGCAGAGGAGTAAAGATGGTATTATTTCCAGGTGTGAGGTGTTACAAGTGAGCAATCAAATTTACAGAAGAATCAAACAGAGCTTGTTCGGTTGTGGGATCTGTTCACCTGTATTTTGTCTTGTACAAAGTCTCCACATAATAAAGGCCAGAGAATTGATGGTGCTGGCACTCCAAAGAGACTTGCTTTGAATCCTTCATGTTCCATCAGCATCAGGAGAAAAGTCTTTCCAGCGTATGCATGGCAGAGTCCACCTTAGCGGAGGAGGTATGTATTGACTAGTCGCAGATACCAGATTGTCCAGGAATTAATATGTTTTCTACTCAAGACTTCACCTTTCCTTGAAACATTCCTTGTTTTCATTTTTTTTCACCACTAGCGACAGTAATGGACGACCCTTCTGAAAATATTGGAGGCAGAGAAGAATGTAACAGCAGTGAATCTGGATGGACTATGTACATTGCTTCACCCGTCCATGAAAACAATCCTGAAAATGATGACGACGATGACGATGACGACAATTACACTGAAAGGAAAGGCTACAAGGATTACCCAAGTGATGATGGTGGCGATCCCGCAAGTGATGATTCAATGGCTTCTGATGCCTCTTCTGGTCCAAGTCATCAAGGAGGACCATGTAGAACCAAGGAGGGAAGCCATCGCAGGGATGATATTGCACATGCTGAGGGTAAAGTCAACAGAAGATCCTCAGGCAAGAAACATGACAAACAGGTAGAGAGAAAACAATATCCTGCTGATATAAAAGCAGCGAAGAAAGAGCAGGGCCATAAGGCAAAGAATGCAACTGAGAACCTTCAAGGTAAAGGCAAGTCTAGAAAAAATTAGTCCACTGAAAGGCAAATATGTAAATCTTTTGCAAGTTTTCCTCCTGGTTTGTTTGCAGTCTTTGTCTATTGTTAAGTAAAGGCGTCTAATGGAGGAAATCTCAGCTATCAATTTGCCATACCTGATACTTAGTCCAATTGGATAATACATTCAGCATAGGTAACTAATATATCATGCAATACCCCGTACGTGCTTATCTAGGACATAGATCTGCAAGAACAGGGAAGATGAACTGCTTGGATTTCCCGTTATGCATTCCATTTTTTTTTTTGCCAGTGTGGCCTTTGTAAAATTATACTTCTCAATGCCCAAGAAGCATTTAAATACATAATGATCTATGCATAGCTTCTTCATCATTGAATAAGAAAATAGTATGCTATTACAGAACAAAATCTGAGTGTTACCTACTGCACACACACACACACAGAGTGAATCCTGATTAGTTGCAATTGGGTTGGGCAGATTGCAAATGAAGACTGACAAAAACCCATGCATACAGAAATAGGATCAGAAATATAAAAAGCTAAGTGCTATAATTTTCCCTTTCCAGCTCAGGCAAGAATTGATAAACTGTTTCATCTTCTCACAGGAAGTAAACAGGAGGCCCCTACTTTAACAGAAGAATGAAATTAATTAAATTCAGAACTCAAGCTTTGTTTGTAAATGAATGTTTATGCATGGCATCTGCAATGCTAAGATGATTAGAACACGAAAAATTTTTTATATAAGTTTTGCGAACGCATATTGGTTTTTACTGGCAAAGTAGGTGAACACTACTTGCTTCCGCGACTGTTGAAGGACAAGACATTCCAGTTATATCACCATCAGCGTGGTAGCCAGAAATCAGTCTCATAAAAGTTCTCTGCTAATATACCCAAAAAATTAGAACACTGGAAAATCCAACCAAGTGTGCTAATTCAAGCTTGCGGTGGACCAGAAAAGTGATGTGGTCAGACGTGAAATACAAAACATAAAATAGTGAAACAGTTAATGAACACATTCTTGGTGCTAGACCATTAACACAGTGAAGGGTTTGCAAGCACGTAGCTGTATCAAGTACCTAAGCAAGCAAAAACAAAGGCACAGCTGAAGAAGGTAAGATGGAAAACAAAAGGAAAAGAAAAAGCAGAAACCAACAAAAACGCACATCAGATATTCTGAGCCACTGGAGCACATAAATGGTGACAACTCTTATTTTCTCCACTGGTTTGTGAGGGGGGAAAAAAAAAGACAAGCACAAAGATACAAAACTGGCCAAATCAGTAAATCATTGTTCGCAACAAATATAACAGATTAATAAGGGGTAGTCTCCCAGAACTGCATCTCCAGATAATAGGAGTACCATTGACTAGAATCAGTCATATGAGACATATTCTTCAAAATGACATTCAGAAAAATACTTCAGATTTTTGACTGCTTAGCAATCTTGAACCATTCTGTATGGAAGGATCCTGGCACATCAATCCTCTCGTAGGTATGAGCACCAAAATAGTCCCTCTGAGCTTGGACCAAATTAGCAGGCAGCCTTTCCCTCCTATATGTGTCAAAATAAGCTAGACTTGAAGACATACCCGGAGTACTGATACCAGAGTTGATGGCAAGGCAGACAACTCGTCGCCAAGCAGACTGTCTCTCAACTACCTCCTTTGCAAACTCTGGATCCACTAGTAGATTTGCAAGTTCTGGGTTTCTATCATAAGCTTTCTTGATACGATCCAAAAATATGGCACGAATAATGCAACCACCCTTCCATATCCTTGCAAGTTCCCCAAGTCTCAAGCCCCATCCCTTTTCAGTACTCTTTGCACGAATTAAATTCATTCCCTGTGCATAGCTACATATTTTGGATGCATAAAGAGCTTGTCTCACATCATCAATCAATTTCTTCTTATCCACATTTTGGTCAGTAAGACTGTCACTAACCCCACTAGACTTGAAGACCTTAGCCGCTTCAGTTCTTTCTTCTTTTAACCCACTAAGGAATCTTGAATCCAATGATGCTGCAATGGTAGGAGCAGCAACTGAAAGGTCTGCAGCTTGCTGAACCGTCCATTTACCAGTACCCTTCATGCCAGTTTTGTCCAGGACCTTGTCTACAAGATATCCGTCTCCCTTATCATCCTTAATTCCAAAAATATCTGCAGTGATCTCAATCAAGAAACTCAGAAGCTCCCCCTTGTTCCACTCTGAGAAAACTTGTTGCAGTTCATCATTAGACAGCTTGCCAACTGCTTTTAGCACATCATAAGCCTCAGCTATGAGCTGCATGTCACCGTATTCAATCCCATTGTGAACCATTTTAACAAAATTCCCAGATCCTCCTTCACCTACATATGTGACACAAGGGCCACTATCAGGTACTTGGGCAGCCACCTTTAGTAGAATATCTTCAATGTACTTGAATCCTTCAAATGAACCTCCAGGCATCAATGAAGGTCCATGACGAGCACCCTCTTCACCACCTGAAACACCCATTCCAAGATAGAGCAGACCTTTTTCATTCACGGCTTTCACTCTCCTCTCAGTGTTCTCATACCATTCATTGCCACCATCAATGATACAGTCTCCTTTCTCCATGTAAGCAGAGAGTGTCTTGATGGTTTGATCCACTGGAGAACCAGCCTTCACAAGAATAATGATGACACGAGGCTTTTGGATAGATTGCACAAAGGCTTCAGGATCATGAAATCCAAACACAGGAAGGTTTCCCTCTAGTTTAGCTCTCTCAACGGTCTCGTCAACTTTTGAAGTGGTTCGGTTATAAACAGAGATTGGGAATCCTTTCTCAGCAATGTTAAGGGCAAGATTTTGCCCCATCACAGCCAGGCCACAAAGGCCAATCCTTGTTGGTGTTGCCATATCCTTTTCCTGTAATGGTTATATCAGAACAAGGTTAAGCTTCTTTCTATTTTGACAAACAACTAATGGGCATTAGTTAATGCCCAGGAAACTACACATGTAGCATGCAAAAGAACATCTATAAATGCATTTAGAAACAGAAAAGTAAAAAATAATTAGAATGAGAAGAGCATGTTCTTTTTCCTCTTTTCACTACTTTTGAGATTGAAGTTAAGCAAAGGCATTAACCAAAACTTCTACTTTTGTCTAAGAAGTTCTACAGGGAAGGTAAAGAACAATAAGCTGATACCAGCAGAGTCATAAATCTATATAATAAGAGAAGTACAAAGAAAGACTAGCACTTGACTCTTAGTTCTATAGGGAAGGTAAAGAACAATAGAGTTATACCAGCAGACTCATGACTAATCTGTCCGCTAAATCAGTATGCTTTGACAACCTCAGACATATAGATCTTCACTTAAAGTGTTAAACCAATCTTTATCAAGAAGGGACGGAGTGGATCAACTATAACTTAATCAACTTCCAATTTACTAGACCAAAAACTCAATATTTAATTCGCTTTCGCCATTTCTTTCTTCCATTTTCATCCCAGTTACAGAGCAAGATCGAAATAATCAACTCACAGAATAATTAAAAAAGCCTGAATACAAAATCCTTAAAAGTCAGAGCTAAAATCCAAACACACAGAGCAGCCTCCAAAACAAAGGATCAGGCAAACTTAACGACCTCTAAAAAAAGATCCAAGTTTTTACCTAACAAAATCACATTTCTGATCAAAAGCGAAGAACCTTTTTTTCCCACCAGACAAGAACCGAGTACATTGACCTTAAGATCCAAAAATTAACAAGCAGAGATCACCTACAAAAATCTGCTGACCTTGATAACATGACATTAAGTAAAAAATAAACTTCCTAAAGCTAACGTGAATTATACAATCTAACAAGAATGCAGACTGAAAGTTCAATGGAAACGGGAAATTGCCACAAAGATGTCAAGAAAATCATAACAAGATCGGAAATTGAAGCAAATGAGCAACAATTACCTGAAAAGATTCAAACTTTGTGAAAAACTAGAGCAATTAAGCAGAACCCAAAAATTTTAAGAAAATGGTCTTGAAAATCACAATCACGCATGATAGAAAAGCAATATATTGATGAAGAATGTAAAATACATGTACCTACCGCAAGAGTTTGGTGAAGAGAGGTGGAGTCGTGGAGAGTTGAGAGGGAGGCGGGTCTATCTTACTTTGTTGAATAATTGTGAGTCAACTGAGGCTGGCTGCTTTTTACCTTCCTCAGTATTTAAAAAAAAAAAAAAAAAAAGAGAGAGAAAAGTTGTACTTAAACATAATGGCTGCTTTTAGAAATTTTTTCAACTCTTTGGGTTTGGGCTTCTCCCTTTCTAAAATTCATTCTATAGATAATGAATTAATTTTGCATTATTTTTTTGCCTTTTTCGGGATTTATGCGTATTCACCTTTCCTTGCAAGCTAGGAGTTGGCTGTTCTCTTGTGATTTTTGGAGCAAAGCATGGTGCAAAATCGGGTGTGTATAATAATTGAAGCCACTCCAAGAAAAATGATTCTCTAATAGTTATCCACTCCAAGAAATAAGAAAAACCAGTTGTAATCCATTACAAGTAATTGAACAAAATTATTCCTGAGTCAATGATAGTGGTATGCATATTTGTAGCAGAAAAATCGTTCAAAACTTTGTCACATTTTGTTAAATGAATTTTTGTTCTTCATTTTTAAAATATTGACTTTACATTTCTTATAAAATCAAATCGGTAATTTTTAATTCTAATTTACTTTTTCAACCACTTTTTATTACAAATCTATCACGTGACTTACATATGATTTTTTTTAAGGGCAAAAAAATTAGGTCGCATTATGATTAAACAAAAAACCCTGTCCATATTGTTCCTAAAAAAAACATGATCTGATTTGAACTATGTTCATTTTCTTCCTAAAAAAGTGGGATTTGATCCAATCTATATTTATTTTTGTCACCAGAAAAATGATATCTAACCTTTTATGTATTAAAAAAAATGACTGCATGTAAGTCACGTAGTGATTTTAGACTAAACTGATACTGAAAACTTAAATTGGAATCAATTTTTGCTAATTTGAATATTTAAGAATGCAAAATTAACATTTTAAAAGTGAATGACGAAAAATTTTATTTGGTGAAATATGAACAACGTTTTGAAAGATTTTCGTACACGTAGCTCAGAATTTTGTACTCTAAAACTGTCAAATTTGGGTGTACAGTTGTTGTTGAGATCAATAATAGTTTCTAAACTTCAGTTTAGAAAAGGTATAGTTGGTTTGTGTGCTATTATTATAATAATACTGCCACAAACTACTTGACAATTGACCCAATATTTTAAAGTCAGTTCGTGTCTAGCGTGCAACTTTAACAAGATGCCTTTTAGGGTTGGCGGATTGTTGGATCCAGGAAATTGATGATATGTGATTGATCGTACCTAAGATCGTTAGGCGGTAGGTGAAGAAAATTCATCCATTTTTGGTTGCATCATATTATGACAACTTCATTTTAAATTTTATTTCTTTTAATTTCGAGTTAGACATCCAATGGGATGATACAATTCTGACATTTGGCACGAGAATGAGGGAGTAGGTTGACCAGTCTTGGAAAAACCAAGAATGAATTGTTCTAAAATTTGTTGTAGTTTATCATAATTATTAGGGTAAATTATTTAGGAAGCCCAAAAAACTAATTTAATACTACCAACTTTTGGCTTCCTGTCCATTTCAATCTTAAATTGGCTTATCAATTATAAAAAGCGTCAAATTCTCATCATTTAATATGTGTTCGTTAAAACTTGACAAATCTAATCGTGAAAATGGATTGAAATATCAAAATTTGCCATTTTTAATTGTTGAGAGACCAATTTCAGAGTTAAAATAGATAGACGATCAAAAGTTGATGATTTAATTAGTTTAAGAATTCCCTACATAATTTACCTAATTATTAAAGCCGGCCTTTATTTTCAACTTACAGTGAGTTTGTTTGGACAAAGAGATTTTGGAAAAAAAAATTTTGCCTCACAAATCCCAATCACCTTTTTATCTTCCCAACCACCTTTTTATCTCACATACATCACATCACAAAAAGTGCTACAGTAAATATCTCAAATAAATCATCCAAATAAACTCTTATCCAAACAAACTCAGTAACTCTTCTAAGTTCTCGGATATCTTATGTCATGTATCCTCCACTGCACCTTTTCATGCTAGCTAGTTGTAGCATGAAATTCATTTGCATTTTTAGAATTATCCATGTAAATGCTAGATGATAAGGAAGAATTTTTTTTTTCTTTAGAACATAACAACATAAGGAATCTGATACTTTGTCAATTGAAATTTTAAAACCTCAAAAACCCCACTTGGGATCCTCGGTCATGAAGTACATGAAATTGCCTCCAGTGGAGAGCTTGAAAGAGAAGGGCTTTGACGGTGAGGTAATCGGCAGTGAAGATGATGCCACGTGGAATGGCGGAGCTGGTGGAGGAATCAAAAGGACCTCATCGGAGGAAGAAGGAATCGGCGGTGAAGTATGGACCTCATCGGAGTGGATTGGAGAGTTTGAAGGCAATCAATGATGAAAGTATTGGTAGATGAATTAGACCGGTGGTTAATTTTGGTTCAAAGGTTTAGAGGGTAAAGAAAATTTGTATTAAACCAAACCAATTTGAATTATTAGAAAATTAAAGTGCAAATAATAATAGTACACTTGGCGCAATATTAGAGGTGACATTGGATTGGCACTCAAAATATGTCACTGAGGATCCCAAGTGCAAAAACCCACAAGGAGATCATCATTCAACTAAATTCAAATTTTAGGGAAACTCCAAAAGTTATTTTCTTCTATAGTTTGGAAGAAAATATTGAATACTTTCGCATCATATAGTTTTGCAAATTGAACCTTACTTATAGGACTGAACAACTGATGTGAGATTCACGTCATGAAAACCAAACTTCTTTAAGAAACATCACTATTTTTTTTTTCACGAGTCAAATTAGGCATACCATTAACAAAAAATTACAAATGTGAAAGATGGATAGTCAGCATCAGCACAGTAATGCAGTCCTTTTTCAATAGATGAATCCGCAGAAATTCAGTCTTAACTAGTATAAAATCATTGGCCATGATCTCTGAATAAAGAATTGAATCGGCGCAACCAGGGCTGCTCCTACTAAATTAATTAAAGTCTTTGCAGGCATGCCATTAAAGAAAACTAACTTACGTGCGTTTGATAAAATTGAAAATTGAAATTTGAAATTTGAAATAAAAAATTTGAAGTCTGAATTTTTTAAATTATTGAATTATTAAGTACTAAATCTGACATATTTGAGTACATATATCACATTCAGTGATAAATGAATAGTTTATCACTTAATTTTGAAAATAAGGTTCCGTTTGATAAAACTGAATCTGAATTCTGAATTCTGAATTCTGAATACTGAAACAATTAATTTGTTGAATTTTAAGCACTGAAAAAAATATATGAATGTCTGAATTTTAATGCTAAACTTATTTATACTGTTTGATAAATATTTATAACTGAATGCTTAATAAGTTTAATTTGATAATTTTGCCCTTATATCCTTTCATTCAAAAAAGAAATAGAATCTATGATTTAATTAATTTAAAATTGTTGGGTATGAAAATGACAATATTTATTTTTAAATCAAATTAATATAAAAGATGAAATATATTATATTAGAAGTATGGAGAAGATGTGAAAGTCATTAAAAAGTGAGAAAAGAGAAACTAAAAACTGTTAGATAGAGAATATTAGGTTGTTTAATTAGATAACAATTTTGAACATAATTAACAAACAATGGTAGATTTGGTAGATAAGATAAGGTAGTTGAAGTAATTCTATTGATTCTTATCAGAATTAAGCATTCAGTTAGGATTCTTGTGCTAAAAAAAATACACACAAGTTCAGCACTACTTAACAAGTTCAGCAAATAGATTTTCATTTATCAAACACTCAAAACATCTGAATGTCTGAAAAAATTCAGATTCAGCACTTTTTTATGTTATCAAACATACCCTAAGTTTTGTCTAATAAATTCAATACCACTTAATTAATTCAGATGTTCAATTTTTTATTATCAAATGATTTGAATATATTAAAATCTGAATCCCTTAAATTTAAGTGCTGAATTGAATTATCAAACATGGCCTTAGTTGTAAAAGACAAAAGTAAAATGACCAAGACAATATCCAGTGAAACCTCAGCCATAAGGTCAACATAGAAAAAGCCCATTGGCATTGATGCTTCTTATCTTCCAGTATGAGATGCAGTTAAGTTCGTTGGTTGTCTGTAACAAGTTACAAAAGCCAGCATTATTAGGATATGTTACGTTTATGAGCTATATAAAGATAAATGGCCAAATTTAAGATTAGAGCAGTGGATTTCGGAATCAGACAAAAAATTTAAATCCCACGTTCCCTTTCCAAATGCTGCATTTGATGAAGTTACAGGCACCACTTCTGATGCTCTAATCTGATGGAGTTCTTGGAAGAACTTCTTGCCTGGTTTGAAACTACAGACTGGATGCTGAAAGCCTGAAACCACGAAGTCTGATCACGCCTTCATCATCCCAGTTTATAAAGCGGGTTACTTCGTCAAAAATACAATCACGCTTCAACCACCATCATACCTAGTAACTTACGTCCGTCACTGCATAAAGACCACAAACTTCCCCCCCAAAAAAAAAAAAAACTGCAGACTGTAGTAGTCTGCGTATATATCATACTGGACATCATTTTCGTTCCACCAGAAACACACACTAAACTAACCAAGAAGCCACAAAAAACCACGCTTTAACACACCCATTTTCACCACAGATATAAAAGTTCCCAATAACAAAAAGAAAAAGAAAAACGCAGCTAGAATGCTCATTTTCAACAACATTTCCATTCCTTTACGTACACCCTTAGTCCTCAAAGCCACTCCACGAAGAAACGCCGTCGTTCTAGCTCAAAAGCAGCAGCAGCAGCAGCAGACACTAACGGCTTTAACTAACTTGACAATCTCCGACGAGGCGTTAGCCTCACGTGGGTTCGCTCTTCACCGGACGATCAACAAGCTCAATCTCGACCACCTCAACTCGGTGTTCGTAGCCGTCGGATTTCCGAGGCGGGACACGGATAAGATACGAGTGGCGTTGGAGAATTCGGATGCGCTGCTGTGGATAGAGTACGAGAAAGCCGAGAGGCCCGTGGCGTTTGCTAGAGCGACGGGGGATGGCGTTTTCAACGCTATAATTTGGGATGTTGTTGTGGACCCCAGTTTCCAGGGGATTGGTTTGGGGAAGGCTGTGATGGAGCGGTTGGTGAATGTGCTGTTGGAGAAAGGGATTACCAATATTGCTTTGTATTCGGAGCCCCGGGTTCTGGGGTTTTATAGGCCTCTGGGTTTTGTAGCGGATCCGGATGGGATCCGTGGGATGGTGTACTCCAGGAAGCAAAAGAAGAAAAGGTAGGCTAGATAGGAGTTTGCCGCTGATTTTTCATGAGAGTTTTTTCTCTTTTGACTAGAAATTGTTTTTTTTTTTTTTTTTTTTTTGAAGGCACAAGCAAAGTGCTGCCCTAGTCCCTACAACGCATTTTTTCTTTAACTTCTAATGGAAACTGCTACTCTACAAATACTACAATGCATTTGTTTATTGATGATACGTTTTTATGGTGAGTCTATTTTCTATCACTGTTGAAAATTTTCAAAATTTATATTTAGTGATTTAGAATATATATACATGTATTATATTACGAATCAAATAATTTTAAAATGTACATATATTATGAGACATGTATATTTATTCATGAATATATTCATGTATATGGAAATTCTTGAATGTAAGGATAGATTCATGTTTTTTATCATAGGATCATGTGATGCATGAATTAAAGTATACGAATTTGTACATAATATCTTGAATCTATTCATATAAGTATTTATTAAATTCATTTATTTTTTAAACAATCTTTTCTATATAAAGAGGTCAAGTAGAGAGTGATTTGTTACATAAAATCACTTTTCTACTACTTTAAATTCTTTGAAAAGCACTCCTGAATTCAAGAGGATTTATCTTATTTTGTTCAAGAGTTTAAGATAAACAAATTTTATCTTATTCTAAAGGATATTTGTCTGAGGCTTATTGCGCGTTATATCGAACAAATAAATTCTAAAGAAAAGTGATACACAATCACGATGTAATACTCCCAACAATAACTTCCCGTGATTTGTGTGTTGTGTGTGATAAGTCTGATTATTCATTTGACTGTATCTATCGTTCGCTTTTAATACTTGCTCCAATCTCCTTTTTTTTGATAATAAAACATATTTCATTCAAGGATTACTGGAAATCGTCCAGCACAATTGAGATACATTGCTGCCTTGATGGCAGATAAACATGCACTAAAATTATAGATCTGCAATTTAACAAATACATTAGATTTGAGAAGTTAAGGACAGATCTAAAAAGTACCATAAATTTGAAAAACATTTCATCATAGAATAAGTCACTGCAGCTCTCTTTGTGCATGCTGTAATCGTCAGATCTGGTAATCAACAGTTGTAAGGTCCAATAAAGACGGTGAGATCTGCCGAGATTGATCCAAATCTGAAATATTCCTTCAGATCTACTATTCAACTGGTTCAAGCTCAATACTGAAAGTGAGATCTGATGAAAAGACTGAAGAAATTGTAGATCTAACATATAGATCTAAAAAAACTCCAAGATCTGAAGAAGTAAAGAACAAAACTAAATAAAACTCTCACTAAGATAGTTTAGGAGAGACTAAAACTCTCAATAGGACATCCTAGAAGAGAAGAAAACTCTCATTAGAATAACCTAGGAGAGACTTTATTGAATGAAAGGAAGAGCAAAGGATAAAGGAAGAGGAAGGGAGACCTTGGTTTAAGGTCAAGATCTCCCTCCTATGAAGAAGGAAGGGTAGAGGAGGAAACCTAGGGAGAAGGAAGAGAATCCCTCTGCTAGAGAGAAAGAAGAGCCTTTTTTCACAAAAATTGGCATCACGTCCAATTTCCCTCTGCTCCAATCTCCTTATACTGAAATTAGTGCCATTTAATTGTAAAATCAATAAATTACCTAACACAAAAAAAGATACTAATATAGGAAGGGAAGCAAAGTATAAACAATATAATTGGCATCACGTCCACACAACTTCTCTTATTCTATTTCTTTCTAAACTAACAAAATGGACAATGAAACCCGACTATACTGATCAGTCACTTTACATGTAATAATTGACAGTGTATGAGTTTGAATCCTCTAAAAAGCAAAGATAAATAGAGAACTACTATTATTTTTTTTTTGTAACTATTTTTTTCATTTCCATCCCTTTCCCATTCCCATGTGTTAAGACTCAAAATTCAAACTCTAAATCCGATAACAGTCAAGACTTGACATTGTGGTCAAGTCTTGAGTGTTATTGGCATCAAGTATATCAATTCTAACCTCTGACCCAATTGAAGATTGTTGTTGACTGAAATGCAAGACTACAGTTTTGTCTTCTGCCTTGATAAGATTGCAATTTGGCACATCAGAAGAATTATGTGAACTTGCAAATGAAGAGGTGGTTGTACGAGCCAAATCATTTGGCCAGATTACTGTCAGAGTGTCATATTCCTCACGTATCTCAATTCTTTTTCCAGCTTCATTTGAAGTTTCTCTTCGATTGGGACATGGAACTAAAGAAGTAGGCGATGCTATCTGTGCCTCGATGCTCTCTGTCCCTTCATTTGGCATCCTGGGGATTTCGGTAACACTATCCTCAGATATCTTAACTCTTCGGGCTTCTTTTGAAATTTCTCCTTGACTGAAATGCAAGCCAAAATTATTAGGTAGTGCAATCCCCAGAATCCTTTATATCGAGGAAGAAGAAGGTAGTAAGTCAGATGATGTGACGCAAAAAAAAACTATAATTTCATTTACTGATTGACAACTGATTGACAATAAGTAAAAACAACAGCATAAATGCATTGTTTACTTGTAAAATGCATAAAACTCTATATTCTGTGAAAAAAAAGTAATGTAAATCATAACTCTATATTCTGTGAATATTACTGTAACACTTTTTTAATTTTACTTACAACCATTGATGTTTTTATTATAAATTAAATGTTTGAAAGTAAAATACCTATAAAGAGCCGATACTTTAAATAGGTAATGCGTACTGCATATAGTTTAACATGCAAATAGTTTGTTAATTAGTTAGTTAGTTAATTAGTTAATTAATTAATTAGTTAATTAGTTAAGCAGTTAATTAGTTTAACATGCAAATAGTTTGTTAGTTTCGGACAGACAACAGATTTAGTTAATTAGTTAATTAGATAATTAGTTAATTAGTTAATAGTTAATTAGATAATTAGTTAATAGTTAATTAGTTTAACTATTAACTAATTAGATAATTAGTTAAGCAATTGTCAAGCAAATAATAATTGTCAAGCAAGTAAGGGCAAAATTGGAAGAAAATTCTTATCTCACTTCTACAAAAGCTGTCAAGGAGGTTTCTGCAACGAATTGTTACTGTTCAGGGGAGGTGAATGCAATTTCTAAACCTAGAGGGGAGGTCAGTGCAAATGTCAGAAATCTCAGGGGAGGTTTCTGCAATTATCCCATACATATATATAGGTTTAAAACAAAATTATTAGATTTAAATCCATGTATATATCGATTTGTTTAAGTGAAATCAAATAGAGATATATTATATATTATTTGTACTGTTTAGATAAAATCAAATAGATATATTCATGAATTTAAAAAACTAAAAACTATTCGTACACGTAGTCAATGAGAGATAAAAAAATTCATTTTGAGAAATTTGAGAGATGAAAAAATTTATTTTGTGAAATGTAAGAGACGAAACGATTCATTTTGTGAAATGTAAGGGACTATAGATAGATTATGTAAATTTTGATTTGACAATTTTGCCCCTAAAAAATGATCATATGCAAGTCATGTGATGAATTCCGGCCAAAAACTAGTCGGAAACATAGATAGGGACCAAATTTGACTAACGTGAATTTGTAAGGGATCTAAAAGTACACTTTTAAAAGTAAGGCACGGAAAAAGTCATTTTACAAAATGTGAGGGACGTTTTGAACGATTTTTCCAAATTCGTAAGTAGAAGATTTTAAATTCAAGACCTCCCACTTATAACAAAAATAAATCATTTTTTGCATTTTGACTTTTGACTAGTGAGCATAAAAGCCATAGGTCGGTGCCCTGGAACCAAGAGCATGGCCGATTATCACTGACAATGGTATAACATTTTTTGAGCGAAATCAGGGGCCTGTTTGGAACTGAGTTTTTAGGCCAAGTTTTTTAGCTACTAGTTTTTTAACAACTTTAGCTACAGGAACCCAAAAAAACTTATCAAATTTTTTAACCTACACACTTCAAAATTCTAATGCACAAAAAACTTCATCTTTTCTTCTTCTTTCTCCCCCCACTCCTATCCACCACACCTTTATCGCCGGCCATCCCTCCGCCGCCGGTCACCACCACCTCTGCCACTGTTTCCGGCGCCAACCACCTATTCTGATGCCGGCCTACCTCTTTTTTTTTTCCTTCTCCCTCTCCCCCTCCCCCTCTCCTTCCCTCCCCTCCCCTCCCCTCCCTGGCCACCCTCCCGCTTCCTCTCTGGTCGCATGGTACCAGATCGCAGATGCGATCTGGTCGAACAATCGGATTGGGCAAAAGGGGAGGGGGAAGGGGAGGGGAAGAGAATGGGAGAGGGAGAGGGAGAGGGAGATGGAGGAGAGGGGGAGAGAAAAAGCAAAAAAAAAAAAAATTGTAATCTGCCATGGCTGCTGGTTCTCTGCTTCGGGAGGGAGGGGGGATGGTGAAGGGGAGTAGAGGGGAGCAGAGAGGGAGAAGAGGGGAAGAGAAAAAGAAAAAGAAAAATTGGTTAGGCTGGCTGCTGGTTCGTCTGGTACCGCGAGGGAAGAGGGAGGGGGAAGGAAGGAAGAAGAAGAAGAAGAAGAGAGGAAAGAAAAGAAAAAGGAAAGAAAGAAAGAAAAAGAAAAAGAGAGAGAAAAAGAAAGAAAAGAAAAAAAAATCTGCGGGCCATGGCTGCTGGGAACTGGAAAGGCAGAGGTAACAGGCGAGGGAGAAGGAAGAAGAAGAAGAAGGGAGAAAAGAAAAGAAAAAGGAAAGAAAGAAAAAGAAAAAGAAAGAAAAAAAAAGAAAAGGAAAAAAAAAGTTTTTTACCTTATAAAAGCTTCTACAAAAAAGTTTTTCACCTTACAAAAATTTCTACAAAATTTTTTCAAAAACTTCTACAGTGCACTACAGTAAAGTTTTAGACAAACTCCCAAAAAACTCAGGTTCCAAACAGGCTTCTACATGAATTACTTGTAAAACTTTATAATAGAAACGCAATATACAAGTAGTTCACATTTTTATTGTAAGAATGTACAAGTAATTCAATTAGAGTTACAAAACCACGGGTCAACCGTCCTTGCCCCCGTATCCGAGTGCACTATCTTTATCACAGACTAAGATGTAACTCAACTCGTTTAAAGAAGGTCAAACATGCTCTAGAATTTCCAGATTTCTCTTATTCCCATGTTCAAACAAATGATATAATGGGTTGACGAAAAATAGTAGAAAAGAGCACCAATGAGTTCCAATTAGAGCTCCAAATGAATCGACTCATATTGCGAGCTGTTCGAATCCGAAGTTGAGTCGAGCTTGAGCTTACCAAGTTAAAGTCAAATTCAAAAATACTAAACTCGTTAGCTTGCGAGTTGGTTCGAGCTCGATTATATATATATATATATATATATATATATATATATATATATTAATTTTAATAGTAAAATTACATATATATCCCTAATATTTTATTATTATTAAAAAAATTATTATTTTATTTAGTTTTAAAAAAATAAAATAATTATTTTTTATTTTTTAATCTCGATGAGTCGAGCTCGAGCTTTATATTTTGAGCTCGTCGAACTGGAGTTTGAGTTCAAACTTCATAAATCTAGGTTAAAGTTTGATTTAATTAGGTCAAAACTCGATTTGACTCGACTCGTTTGCACCCCTAATTCCATCAATATGACAAAAGGTAGGGCGACTTAAAATGTAGAAAGGCACGACTTTAACTGGCTAGAATAATAGACCACCCCCCACCTCTAGTCTCTAAACTACAATGTATCAAGTGTTCTGTGCTCCTCAACTAAGGGTACAAACGAGTCGAGTCGAGTCGAATTTTTGCCTAATAGAGTCAAGTTTCAAATTAATTTTACGAAATTTAAATTCGAGTTCGAACTCAACAAGCTCAAAATATCAAGTTCGACTCAAATTTGAGTCGAATTCAAACTCGAACTTATAAAATAAAAAAATAATTATTTTATTTTTAATTTGAATTGAGCTCGAGTTCAAGCTTAAAAAATTTTTAAAAATAAATAAAATAATAATTTTTCTTAACGAATAATAAAATATTAGAAATATATATATATAATTTTAGTATTAAAATAAAAAATATATATAATCGAGTTCGCGAGCCGCTCGCGAGCTAACGAGATTAGTATTTTTGAGCTCGAGTTCAACTTGATTAGTTCGAACTCAAGCTCGAGTCGAGCTCGAGCAACTTGATTAACTCGAACTCGACTCGAGCTCGATATTGATCGAACTCGACTCGAGCTTTGCATTCAAGCCGCTCGCGAGCCTTATCCCCAACGCTTTGTCATACATAGAAGAGATGTACAGAGTCTGCTTATGCCGCAAACGCATGTAATGAATTACAGCAGTAGAAAAATCCAGGCGGAATCTCTCCCTATGCAGTTACAAAAATTACAACAAATTATATAGGGTTGGTTATGAATCCTTCATTTATAAGCACTATTCTAGGATGTCATTGCATAGCGCAACTTCTTGAAGTGCCAATTCAGCTTGGTCATCGAAGATAAACTGGACTGCCCTGGGAAGCATAACCTCCAATTCTGCAAGAACAGAAGCTTGTATCAGAGTGACTATTACCACATAAAGTTATTTGAGCTTAATAGTGGCAGAAAATCAGCACTGCATATCACATAAACACCAAGTTTCAAACCAACTACCGAAATCATCTAAAGCGATCAGAGAGACAATCACTGTATAGAGTTATTTGACGTTAATAGAATTAAAAGTGTGGTGTTGCATATCACACAAACTTGAAGTTAACATATAAACTAGCAAAATCTCATAAACTCCTAACATTAAGCACCTCACCAAATTGCAAGTCTTTCACGATTTCTCCTTACCACTTGAGAAGTTAACGCTAAACTCTTTCAGATCTTCATGATGTAGTTACTATAAGGCCTACAAATGTTAGGTGAATATTTTAGCCAGGGAAGACAAGTAAAGGTTCAGATACTGCAAATTAACAAGCATCAACTATAGAAGTGGTAGTTTCTGCATCTCCTTTTCTTGCTTTTGGTTAGTGGTTGCCATATCTTCATTACAAAAACACAAATGTCATCATGTCCTGCATTCAGTCATCCCACTTATCTAAAACCTTGAACTCATATAGGCGAGGATAATCATTTATGAAGGCAATCCTACATCTGATATGCTAGATTTTTCCCGTGAGAACAACAGCAAAACAGGTAGTGTAGTGAGGAATTAAAGGACACGCTACTCCCATCTTTTTCTTTTCAAATTTTTGAGGCTGTCAGACAACTGCAAGACCACTGCAATCCATGTCGAAGCAAGGACCATAATCTCCATTAAAAGCTCAAGTAGTTGCGTAGAAGAACAATTGTACAACAATCAACTTAAATGAAAGGGAAATGAATTGGCAGAGGGGAAAAACCCTTAATTCAACTGGTGCCCAAAAGGTACCCAGGCTCCAAAGATTACTGGTGAGCTTAGGTGGTTTCAACAAGGTATGCCACTCTCCATACATTGCTCAAGGTTAGCAGTTACAACAGTTCGTGCTTCCTCGACTTAGATAGAGATGAGGAAAGAAAATGCCCATCTAAAAATGAATGATTAGGAGCAATATTTGTCAATCCTGAAAGGTTATTAAATCAGCTAATAACCTCATCTATTTTTAGGGTATGAAAAGTAATATCAAGACTTCTCATCTCCTCAACCCTCAAAGTACACTATCCCTACACACACTCATGCAACATTATCATGGAAAGTCCATAGATAGACTGAAGTAGATAAATGAGGTGTGGCATTGGATAAACATTAGACAAAATGTAATGCTACCTTAAAGAGAGCATCCTTGCTGATGCAAAATAATACATATTGCCTCATTCTACTGGAGTTAATGGAAAATTAGGTCGTAGACATCAGGATTCCACGATCTCTCATAAGCCCTCTATGCTCATCGAAGCATCTCAGATTGGACAACTTCAGATTAGTAAGTGTACATTCTTATCCTAAAATTTTGACTCTAGATCCACAAGCTACACGCAATTGGCACCATATCTTGAAAGGAAATTGGCACCATATCTTGAACTATTAGAATCTTTTAACTCGAGAACAAAAGACACAACCAATCCAACTAAAATCTATACTTGATTCTATCATTCTAAATAGAGATCACAGAACAAGGAAAGAATTAAGCGCTTGCAAGGGGAAGGCCTACTCAAATTTTCCAGATGCAAAATTGGATTCCTTTATTCTGACATACAGACAGAGTTTCGCACAAATTGACAAGCAAAGGACAAAAAAATACCCAACTTTCTTCGCAATATCATTCAAACAACGAAATCAAGCAGCAACCGGGTAACAAAAGAGATAATACAATCAAATTTCCAGTTAAATTGCATTAAAAAAAAACTTATCAACGACTCTGACTTCAAGAACCCAAAAAGACTCCACGTGATTATGTGTAAAGTCTTAGCATATTTGTGCATATAAACAAGAGAGAAGCATACTTACATTACAGTTCATAACCAATATGAAAGGACGAATCAAGAAGGCTCCTTGGCATTTTGGAAGAAAGCGGCAGAGCAAAGGATTGAAGCAATGAAAGCAAAAAAGCCCAAACCAAGCATCAAAGAAATCCCTGCTACCGTCAAGTCCAACAAAGACTGAAAACTCACCCACATCTTTGCTCTGCCTATCTTCTCCCCCTCTTTCGTCCTTTCACTTTTCTCTACTTTATATGCATCCAATTGGGAATCTAAATCCAACCCATAAGAGGAATCACTCTGATCTTCCTGCTCAAATACAGAATTACACAGTAAGGGGCAGAGGCAGACAGAGATTGTGACGTGCTGAAACAGCGGCACAAAGCGCCTCGGGAATGTCGAATCATAATCAGCTCAGTATTGCCACCAGCTCCCCAACTCGACCGTCCCAACGGTCCAATCAAATATCGTCATTTATTCTAAACTATTTGAGGACCGGATTTCTAGAATGGATCATGTTTTACGTGTTGTTTTTCTTCGGTCCAATGTTTTTCGTGGCGTATATGATAGAGGACCAATTAAGTAGAAGTTAAAGACAAGCAGTTTAGGATGCCACAGGGATTTTGTTAATAGATAATCCTTTCCTTCTTATTAACTTTATTCTCAATTTCAAATTAGTATGATGAAAAGGAATAATAGATGTCATGAAATTGTTGTATTGATGTTTCCAATGGTTTTTATCTTTCTGTTTTTTTTTTTTTTTGATTGTTTAATAATTGCAATATACTAGCGTGGTTGAATATGTGAGGTAGGAAATTCCATAAAGCATTTCATCGTATTGGAATTCTGCAACATTTGTCTAAAAATTATTTAGCCACTACTAGATAATTATCAAAAAACAAAAAAATCAGACATATCCTCTAAAGAAGGATGGCAGAATCTTATTGTTGTCACAGTTCCTGGGGCAGCATTATGTGATCCTCTAATACTCTCCTTGGGACTAGCATCTCATCTGATGTGCAAAATTTGTTATCCTGCGAGACTCTCCGAGAGTTGTAGATAGTTAAAATGAAGATCAAAGAGTTAAAGAAGTTTATTGTAGAAACTGATTTTAGCAAGATTTGGGTAATCTGATGACACAGGTTTTCACAAATGAATTTGAAAAAGAACCGGCTGATTCAGTGATTCCAAGATTACGCATGAACAAAGACAAGAATGGGTTCTTCATCATTAAGGTTTTGCCGGCTCTGGTGATGCAGTGTTGCATTGCTGTTCTTCATTAGAATTTTGATAGCTATATTATTTCTGATTTCACAAGCTTTCGACTTCTCCATAATACTGTATCACAATGTCACAATTTGCAACTTGACAAGGCGATTGTTCTTTCCTGAGTCTGCTTGAGAAATGCAAACCTATTGATAATTCTCTCAAGGGAGATCTGAGCATTGGATAGGTTCTGAAGAACTCAATTTCAGGCCCTGTGTAGAGAATGCTGGAACTCTAGAATACGTAAGAGTAGGATATTGGTAATGTACACTTTGGAATTCAATAAGATGACAGAGATATATCAGTACTTCCGTTTTCAGCCCCTTCTGTTCTGTGTTTGCCTACGGTTTACCATGTACTGTCCTTCGCTTCTGTAAAGTTCACTCTACAAAGTACCAAATGCATTCTTTGTCAAATGTCAAATTTACCTCAGACATCTGGCTTTACATCCACTACAGCAAATTGACTGTACTATTCTCCCAACTCCCAAGTCAGACTTGCTGACCAGATATGCTCTCCTCATTTGTAGGAAAACAAATGAGTGTTGGACAAGGAGAACTTCCAATAGCTTTCCAAGATGGATTGAAAAAAATTAGCATCTTCAGTGTTGTCAAATTTTCCTCCATCTCTTTCATTCGACTAAATGCAGGAGCATTAAACTCCAATTTGACTTGGAAATTCACACCAATGAGCTAGCACCGATTGGTCCAATACCTGCATGATGAAAGGGAATGTGTATACCTGGACTTCTAAAGATGCTGAAACTGCAAATTTTTCATGATATAGGGGTTTCCATCTGCTTAGAAACTATTTTTCATGGATTATGAATATAAAGGTAAAAATCGGTAATTACCTGAGGTTCGCAATGGTTTTCTCATTAAGTTATTGGGCACTGGCTCCTTAATATCAATTACAACAGCATTCGATGTCAGGAAAGTATTGGCTACGGATGCTGCATGTTCCAGGCAACATCTAACAACCTTCACAACAGGATGTTCTTGGTGAATTATCCCAGAATTGTCTATCAGAAATCAATTGAAAAGCTAAATAAACTTGTCCATTTTTGAGTTTACCTTTGAAGGATCCAAAATCCTAGCAGCCACCAAATCCTCGTATTTGTCTCTGGCAGCATTATAACCATACGCTGCATTGTCTACTGACAGAACCTGCATATGATATGCTTTTCACCTCAGATCTCAGCTGTTACCCTTGTGATTAATATATATGTAGATGAATGGATGCTTCAGATTTAACTAAATTTTCTGCAAAAAGAAGTTAACTGCACTTCATGCCAAATACCTTCTCTATAACAGCATTTCCATTTAGACCAGCATTCTTTGCTATCTGTCTTGCTGGATAGGCCAATGCCTTTCTGAGAATGTCAGCTCCTATCTGCATGTAAAGTTGCAGACGGATATCAGAACCACTAGAAATGAACATGAGAAGAAGAATTTACTTAATAAACAAAATTTTGGCACCACATGTACTGCTCATCGAGGTTTCAATCCTATAGACAACCTAAATTGTATAACTTTCTAAGAAAAAAGAGGCAAACCCTTTGTTCTTCATTATCTAAGTGGTTCTTGATATCTTCCACCTTCAAAGAGAGCCTAAGAAGGCAGCAGGCCCCGCCAACCACTACACCTTCCTCAATGGCTGCCTGAAGTTTACGAAAGTTTAGCAGTCATGACTAGTCAATCAGCCATTCAAGATTTTACAGGAGCAGCACTCTACCTTGGTTGCATTTAAAGCATCTTCCATTCTCAGTTGTTTGTCCTTCATCTCAACTTGTGTTTGTGCTCCCACCTATCATTTCATAGACAAGCATAAGCGCATATAATCTTATAACTCAGTTGCTCAATAATTCTCATGTGCTAAAATCAATGAATTCAGCTCACCTGAAGAATAGCAATTCCCCCTGATAACCTTGCTATTCTTTCATTCAACAGTTTCTTTTGGAACTTTTCTTCTGTATTCTGCGTAATTTAGGGAGCAATTCAATTAAAATAGTATATGTTACACATATGGACTGACTGGAACTTAATGGACTAAAATCAGAATTAGTCTGAGATGTTCTTTTTAGAATTTAATGCTAACTTTGGCAAAGGACATATGCTAATTCTTTAAATTGTAGCATTCTTTAGTATGTGGATTCCAAACTCAAACCAATAAGATGAAAAGTTAGTTGTTTGGTAGAGCTTTCAATGTTTTTTGGTGAATTATGCTAGTTAATTACATAATTCAAATTGTATGTTAAAATATCCCTGGAATTTTCACCAAGTGTCCTACCATGAATGCATCCACATTTATGATAGAAACTCCTGCATAATATTAGTTGATGAATTTTTTTTTCCTCTTGCTTTTATGTCCCTGGATAAAATAACAAATTTGGAGATCTCAGGCAACTTAGCTGGAGATGTAAAATTTAATCTTTACAATGGTAGGTAAAAGCATCAGGCAAAGCATTTGACGGACCTCCACAAGCCTTTGTATCTGGGAAACCCTTTTCTGAACGGCTTCTTGATTTCTTCCATCAGTAACTATTAACGTAGAGTTTTTCGTTATCACCACCTTAGATGCACTTCCAAGCAATCCCTTGTGAGCATTCTCAAGAGTCAAACCCATGTCATCTCTGATCACAGTCCCTTAAAACATGATAAACTGTGTGAAAATTTGAAGAACTGAAGTGAAACAGACAAATAATGAACTGTAGTTTTTACTCTGAGCACATATCTTTTGTGATTACTGCTTTTATTGTTAACTATTGTTGCATAAAAATTTATAATTCAGCCTAGAATACCAGTTGATAGACTACATGATGCCAGCGTCAGAAACTGAAAAATATCATTATAACCGCTATTAATGCTCCAGCCGTGAAGAATTGGTTTTACCATATTATCTCAGGATCATAATCAATCTTTTCTTCGCAATCTCCCGTCAGAAACTCTTTCTCATTAAATTTGCAAGAAAAATGTCATTGGAATGAAAGAAAGTGGCAAACTTTAGATTAGGTGTTCTTGTCTCACTACCTCCTGTCAAGATGGCAATATCATCTAGGTAATGGCTCTTGCGCTCACCAAATGCAGGAGCTCTAATGGCAACTGCCTTCAGTGTACCTTTGAGCTTGTTCCTAATTACCGGAGCCAAAGCTTCCTGCTCAATGCCCTCTGCAACTATGACAATCGGATACTTCTCCTTAACTGCATTATCCAATATTTTAAACATCTCCTTTGCGTTTGTGATTTTTTTGTCAACCAAAAGCAACTGCCACCAAAGAAGTTTTCCCCTAAATATGACACATCAATACGTACAATATCAAATCCACGAGTTCTTTACCTTGCAATTGTGATGTTCTGCTATCATCTCTCTTCGATTGGTAACAAAATAAGGAGACAAATATCCTCGATCAAATTCCATCCCCTCTACAATGCGCAGGCTATTTTCACCATGGTTCCCTTTCTCAATTCTGACTACTCCCTTTCTTCCTACTTTCTGAAGGGCATTAGAAATCATGTTTCCCACTGCATAATCATTCCCTGCACTAACAGCAGCGACATCCACGAGCTCGTGATCCTCAACCTGCAATGGTAAGAAATTTCAAACACAATGATTTTTCTTCTTGCCAGTGTCCATAGTAGAAAAAGGGTGATAGCGTTCTTGAGTTGCAAGGCTATTTCAATCCTCAGATTGTAAAGAAGATGATATTGGCATATTAGCATAATTACCTCTCTGGACATCAATTTCAGTTCTGAAACAAGGGCTTTGGTAGTTTTCTCAATCCCACGTGAGAGCTGAATAGGGTTCATCCCGGCCGCAATAACCTAATGAAAGTTAAACTTAGTATATGACTTTGTCCAGAGATTGATGTAGTAATGACCACTTTCAAGGCAACTGATAGTAGCAGGAATGTTACCTAAACCTTCGATTGTAGTTATCAATGTAGATAATGGTAATTCACCTTGCTTAACACGTAAAATAAGGTCTAACTGGAGCTCTCCTGAAAATAAATTGAGCACTCAAGTCAAAAGATAGGATCGTACCTTCATGCCCTCAGCAATAAGACCTTGTGCAAGTACTATAGATGTAGTGCAACCGTCACCGGCAAGCTCATTTGTCTTTGCACCAGCTTGTCTTACTAATTTTACTCCCACATTCTCCAAAGGGTCCTCCAATTCTATCTGTTCTACTTAATTGAGTACATGGAGTTCAAGGTATAAATATTTCAGGAATGAGAAACTGTTCCCATAATCAGTTCCATATCCTTCGGGTATGATAGATTGCAAATTGTCGTGTATTCAATTCTCAAAATGAACTAAAATTGCAGAAAAATTGTACCCTATTGCAGAATATGCTACAAAAAATAAACTCTTATTCAAAATCACAGAAAATAAAGATACAAATTTTTAGATTTCAAGTTCAAATCTTCTTTAAAAGTATGCATTACCAAAATCAACATTGATGGCTGGAGCATTTGAGCATTTTTCTTTCTTTTGTTTATCATCATTTGATGCATTCCAAATGCAGTATCATAATCTCAGAGTACAAGTCTAAAAATTTCGGAAGACGCTAAGCATAGACCATTTTCCTCTATCAGAAATATGATGATCAATAACATAGCCAGCCAGCATATAAGAAGCACAATTTCAAGACATCTTGATGCGGAATCTGAAATGGTATAACCACAAAGCCACAAACCAGATACATTTTTCCATTATCTGGTAGTGAACAATCCAAAAACTTGCCAGCAATTTCAGCATTATTCATAGTCGTTTATACAGATTTCAAAGACAAGAAGGCACACTGGTATTGTTGAAATAAGAGAAGAAGTTTGTTTTTCAGTTTGTAACATGAGAAAGCTGATTAATAACAATTGGCATGTATTATATACAGATTTATTACCTCTTTAAGAACAGTTTCACCGTCATTAACAATCTTGGGAGGTCCATATTTATTCTGCAACACTACGTTTCTTCCTTTTGGTCCCAAAGTTACTCCAACCAACTCTGCCACCAAGTCAACACCTGCCTGCACAATGAGTAACAATCAATCTCTCGTTACCCACCAGTCACCACTTAAGAAAATCATAGAGCAAATAATTAGGACACGGTTTTAACCTGAAGCTTCTTCATTGCTGAACCATCATGGTTGAAATAGAGATCTTTAGCCATTGCTCTTGTGTTTAGCATGGACCTTAAACGTCTTCTACAAATGGTGGGCATGGATGGTTTATGGAAATATGTAGATGGCAATGGATAAAGAGAACATCCCATGATTCTTTTTGGATTTGATATGCTGAAAATTTGTTAGAGTAACGAATATCAGTTCAAGAGTTTAAGAGAACCTTACCAAGGGAACTTCGTAAAGAGTTGATGGATAAGAGAGAATGAATGGAAAAATATCTATTTTTGGCGCTTGTCCTATGTGCTTGTCCTTCTTGGGCCTTTCGTCAGTTAAAATTCTACTCCATAGTCCTTTGTCCGTGAGCCCGTTAAGCCCGATCGCTTAACATTTTTGAGTCAAATTACAACTTCACTCCTTGACTGGGTTTGATTCATAAGCTTAACAAGCCTTTACTTCCAACTATGTATATTGTATACTTTTCTACTTTTCCCTTATTAAAATACCTAACTATAGGGTTATTTTGTCGAAAATTACGTGAAAATCTAAATACTTTCTCTTCCTAACGCCCAAAAAAAAGAAAGAAAGAAAGTTGAATCTTGTTTACTACTAAATTTTTTTACTCTTTTGTTTTAATCTCAATGTTAACAGACTAATCTATTCCTATACTGAGAAGGACCAAAGTAGGTCACAAGAGAATAAGGAGGGAATCCACCTCCAATCCAAACTAGTGCATTTTTTTTAATTATAAGAACCCCCTACTTACACTCTTTTCCCCGTAAGAACTCCTAATGTTGCACCCAAGAAGGGGGCCTTGAGTCCCTCTTGGCGGTTGCTAGACTAAAGTCATGTAGTTGCTAAACATTTTTACTTGTTGAGTTGGGTTCTAAAAATAATTAATTAGTAGAATTGCTATTGCCGTACAGTCGAGTCGAATTTTGACCCTGTTAATTCAAGCTCAACTCAATTTTACCATGCTCTTTTTTTTTTTCAACTCCAGTAAATGATTTTTCGTTGAATTAATTAAACCTAATCCCAGATTGAATTCCAAAAGCCAGCAACTCTTGGAGCCAACCCAGGGACTTAACTACCCAACCAAACCCCACCCCAGAACCGATGTGGGATAACTAGCCTAAAGGGGGGAACCCTGCTACTAAGTGGGATACTACCACCCAAGAATCCAATCCCAGGAGCCAGTTGTCTTTTTTCAACTCCAGTAAATGACTTTTCGTTGAATTAATTAAACCTAATCCCAGATTGAACTCCAAAAGCCGGCAACTCTTGGAGCCAACCTAGGGACTTAACTATCCAACCAAACCCCACCCCAGAACCGATGTGGGATAACTAGCCTAAAGGGGGGAACCCTGCTACTAAGTGAGATACTACCACCCAAGAATCCAATCCCAGGAGCCAGTTGTCTTTACCATGCTCGAAAGTTGAAATTAATTATAACTTAAAAGTTGAGCAATTAAGAGGTTGGTGTCTAGACTAAGAGCAAAATGAACCCATTCCCATCGGAACTTGGGCCTTCAAGTCGATAAGCCCAAAACATAGAGCTCATAAAACACGGACCGGGGAGCTTATTATTCTCATTTCGGCGGGAAATCAGTTTCTTTCCTTCCAGGTATGAGAAGAACAGGTGAACCTATTTATTCAAAAATTCCTGCCAATTTGTCTTCATTAATTGATTTTCTTTCTACCTTATCATCATAAAATCTTCACTAGTAATTTAGTTATCTAATGCTTGAGTTTAACTGTTTTAGAAATTAGGTTTTAGGAATTGTTCTTTAATAATTTCTAAAACTGCTAAGCTTATGCATGTTATATTCATGGCGTTCATTTCAAATTCCTCTTGTTCAATTGTAGAAATTTATGTGTCTATCCATGTATATGTGTGAGATTGTGAGTCCATGAGAGTTTTTTTTTTTTTTTTGTAATTTTGAAGTTTTGCTATATTTCTCATTGATTAAGCTGACGAAGTAGGTAAAGACTCTTCTTTTTTGCTTTTAATCAAAGTATTGTGTGCCAGACTTTTTCAGAAATTGGATTTACATTTTTTTTCTGGTGAATATGAAGCTTTGATTTTTCCTTTATATTTTGAGCTGATCAACTAGGTTACCTCGGTTTTTTTTTTTTAAATTCAATTTAACTTATCTGAATAGGCAGGGTGCAAAGGGCGGTAACTTTTGAGGCATAGTACAAATTAGGAAGTAGGAATCTGAACATCGTTGCTATGGCATATCAGACATTTCTGAAAATGAAAGGTGTTTGTACAATAAAGTCTTTTTCCCCCCTGTTTTCCTTGTATTCCAATGAGGGTTCAATCCTAAACCTCTCCATCACCGCTCTGTTTCCCCCATCCTTTTTGAAAGTTGAAAAGAATCAGAAACTTGAAAGTATATGAGCGTGCATTGTGAACTATGATGGGTAAGCACGTCCTAGCGAGGAATATGTTTAGTCATTCGACTTCTTTGAAGGTGTGTGTGTTTTTGTGTAATTGAATGCTGCAATGAAGAGTTTACTATGGTTATTACTTATTAGATGAAAAATTTTTCCCAGAAAGCAATACAGTTGAGATACCTCTCTGTTTTGAAGTATTTGGTTATTCTAATACAGTAGGTTGTAGCCCTATTCTTTACGATGATTCATGTAGTTGTCAAAAAGCAGAAGCAATATCAATGGCACTATTTGCTGCTGGAAACTGTGTATCACAATTCCCTATTGAGAGTTATCTTCTATACTGTAAATGAATAGATTTTCTCTTGGCAATGACTGTTCAATTTTGAAGGGCCCTGGATAGTTTCTCTCAGATTATCAAAAGGCCGACTGTTATTTTGGGATTTTAAGGCAAAAGCATAAACTGGCATAGAGACATCATCTGCTAGCTTGGCCAATTAATTATGCCTCTGTTTGTTGGCTTGAATTCAGGCAAGAAGGCAAGTTGCATGTCAAGGTTTGTATACTTTGGAAGGAAAAGGCAAAATCCTTGTTTATTTCCACTTTCCCTCTTAATATAAAAGGAGAAATGTTGACAAAATTTTGTCTCTTCCTTTATTAGCTTTGGCATTTCTCGTCGTCTTTTCCTTTTTTTCCCCCTCCTTTTTTGGTGTCCTTTCTTACATCTGATTTACAGAATAAGAAGAGAAAATTTTAGATATTACAGCTTCTCCATCTCTTATGTTCCAAGATTAATTAAATTGAAAAATTTGAATTTCCCCATTTCCCTTGTTTTTCCTTCTTTCACTAACTCTATTCCCTCGGCAAGCAAGCAAAGTTCTCTTGTTTCATTCTTTTTCCTCCTTTTCTTTTTTTGGGTGCATTTTTAGTTCAAGTTCTTGGCTTCTCTAGTTCTTTTGTTTTTACCTGGTTTCTTCTTATACCAAAGACATTATTTTATTCATACAAAGGTTTCTGTATTGGAAAGAGAGAGAGAGAGAGAGAGAGAAGGGAAATGCATTTGGTTGGCAACCTTGAAGCGTGCTTCCAGCTGCAGAAAATCGAAATTGAAAAAAAATATATAGACCGGCGGAATAGTTAACGTTTTCATGCTCTGACAAAGAAGAGAAACAGTTGCATGGATCATAGTGGGTTGCCTTTTCATGTGTTTTGCTTCTGATAGTAGTTCCCTGAATTATGAGCCACTATGACTAGCATCTCCACCAGCATTTGTCCCACTGCTTGGGCAACCGTGTGGTACACAATTTTGGTCATGGGGCCTTCCTGTAAACTCCTGTAGCCTGATCTATTAAGGGTCACTTACCAAATATGATTGTTCTCTCTATACATATACGTAGTTTTCACACAGTTCAGAGAAGAAGATGAATGCACTTGTCAACAAATGATGCTGCGAAGTTTCTTCTATGTTTTGCTATTTTCAACTAATCATCTTATTTAAGGAATGGCTGATAATTTCTTAAAAAGTCCTACGCGTTTAAATTAACTCTGGTGGTGTTGTTGAGTTATTGCCCTTTGATGGAGTTTTTGACGAATCCATGATGGAGTGCTAGAGATTTCACTTTCAGTAAATTTGCTCCACAATAATATAGTGTGAGTTTCTCGAGTTGATCCAGATGTGAAGAAACCATCTTTTGAGTTGGCAATGGAATATTAAGGAAAATCTTGATCATTTCCGATTACGTGTTATCCATCTGCTGGGAAATGATTGACTCATTACATTCATATTAGACAGAAAAAACAAGAAAAAGGCAGACAAACACCTCCGTTTCTTTCTTTTTTGGAGCATGGTAAATCTCTTAGTCAGTGAAGCAGATTTGTAGTAGCAGCAATTGACTGGTTTGATGACTCAGCCCTGAGATGAGCTGTGTTGCATGGCAACTCTTCCAGATCACTCAAGGTGTTATAAGGACTTCCAAGTTGGAAGTCGGTGAGCATTTGCCGGAGGTCAGATGCTTCTTCTTTAAGGCGTGCATTCTCTTGAACAACCCTGTCATGGGACTCTGACACGTGGTTCAATTTGTCTATGAGATTGTGGTTCTCAGTCCTCAAGCGAAGCACCTGAGACCAGAGCTCATCAAGGTGCCTCTGTTTCCGCATCCTTGATCTTCGAGCTGATTCTCTGTTGGATATCATTCTCCTTTGTTTTCTTTCATCTATGACGTTGAGTTGCTGATCATCTGCTTCATCAGAGGTAGAGTTGTTGCTTAAACATGAGGACTGCGGAGTGAACTCATGTATGGGAGGAGGGCTCTGGAAATTTGGCAAGTTGGTCAAGAGTCTGCTGATTTGGAATGCTGGAAAGCTGCTGTGCATCAAGCTGAAGTTAGGGGTGAAAGGCGAGGGATCCTCAGGTGTGAAGTAGTGGATTCCTGTTGCCTCAGATGGAATCATGGCTGACTATATTGAAGGTGACGCCTGAAGTTTTGTTTTGCAGATAGCGATGAGGGGATAGTGGACTGGAGCATGGCATGAGGATTAGACGGCTTTTATAGGAGGAGAAGGCTTGAGGCGTGGGCCAGATGTAGCAACAGAGATGATACAGTACCTAGCTTACGAAGCAGAATTCAACATCCATTTGAGCAGCGCATAAACTCTCCATGTATGTTTTTTCTTTTTCTTAGGTATACTGTTATCTAGAGACAACCCAAGCCGGCCAATGAATTTCATGTGTCTTGACCTGACATGTAAATGGCCTGCTGTTTACCATGTCATCATGCAGTGATGGTTCTAAGGATAATCATGGAACATCCAATGTAATGCTTACATGGGGAAGGAATTGAGTTTGTGATTAGGGATGTTTCAGTTATCTAAATGAAGCATTTTTTTAAAAAAAAAAAAAAGATGGAAAAGCTAATGAATTATTATCTCAAAAGTCAAATCTCAGAAAAAAAATCATCTGAGGGAAGGTTTTGCCGAAACCAGCATCATATGGAGGTCTCACAGCCAATCACATGCTCTGACTGATGACGAAAACTAGGTCAATACAAAAGGTGAATGTTATTAAATAAAAAGAAATTTTTTTCTATTTTACTCTCATTTGATGACTCAAATTGCACTTCACTTTGGGATAGGAGGGACCCAATGTTACTGTTATCGTCCGCATTCATTCATGCGTAGCATTTTAATCCAACAAGCTTCTTCTGCATTTTTTTTTTGGGTATAAAGGTGGCTTGTCTTTTCCTTCCTTTAATTTTGAGCACTTGAATAGTTAAATTGACTGAACTTGCTTAACCATTAGTATTATGTTCTCCGGAGTAATCTTACCATCTTCAAGAACCTAACGCCGAGTCTACCCTCTGTTTCCTCAATGGCATTGCGTTTCGAATGCTCGTGATGGGAGGACAAAATAATTTCTTTCAAGGAGCCAAATGGTCTTTAATTGTATTTTCAGTTCATTTTTAGAAGCATGGTACGCGGGAACGGGGATTAACTATGATTTGACTTAATTTGACAACTACTTGTGGGATTGCAGCCAAAGTACTTGATACTATTATTATCATTATTTTTTTTTTGTTTTTTTGGAAGGATATTGATCCAGGATGCATTGCTTGGTTTATGTGATCAAATGACTTGACTAATGATGCGAAAATGATGCTTCAAAGTCTCCAGGGGTGTAATGTTCATTGGATTAGTCGAGAAGCCAATGAAGTATCTCATTATTTACTCTTGAAATCGTCTTTTCTCAGATTTTATCTCTGTCCCGTCTATCTGTTTTAACTAGCACGTATATTGATTAATAACTCTTAAGATTCTATTGCGAATAACTCCAACAATCAATAAATTTTAGGATTCTATTGGAGGATAAATCTAGCAGCACAATGCACGTGACAGTTAAATAAAGACGAGACAGAGACAAAATTTAAAACAGATAATTTGAAGCGATTTATTTAGGCCAATTGTGCGCAAAATGCGATTGAAAATACAGAATGGTTTAATGAAGTACTAATGCCCTAGCATCTATTCCCAGACTGAAGTTGGCTTAGATTACGGTTAATTAATGATCATACAACATGTGAAAATATGCCAATTGTAATATTTATTCCCCTTCCTATTTTAGGATCCTTCCTAGGGATATATGATCAATTAGTGACATGTCCTAATTGTCCAGTTGTGCGTGGAAATCTTTAACGCATCTTGTTGCATTATCTTTTTCGAGTGCATGTAAAGAAAAAGAGAGAGAGGGGACAAAAATTAATTAAAAGATTTCGGCCCATTTACTTGATAGATTAGTATCAAGCTCAGAAGATTTTATGGCCAACAACTAAGAGAATATTCGAGTCAGCAAAATAAGGGACAAAATTCAGAGAATATTCTTGTGAAATGAAATGGTAAGATTTTTTTAAAAACTATATGTTTCTATGCTTTAAATTAACAAACCCAAGTTGCCTCAGCATACAACAATATAAGATGGATTCGATTCGACATCTAATCTAGTTCTTGCAGCTTATATTCTCGAAATGATTAGCTTGTCCATTAACATTAACCATTATCCTTCATTTGCATGGGATCATGCAGCAGGCGAGTTTACATAAACATGGATTGGAATATACTAAAATCGTGGAAAGTGCTACGTTTTTTCCTCTCCTTATCGGATAAGGGAGAGTACTTTACTTGGAATATTTGTTGTAGTTTATTCATCTTCTCCCTTGCTCTCTGCCAATAAAACTGTACGGGTTTAAAGTGGAGTTAGGCAGAGCCAAGTTTCTGCATTCGCACCACACTAGCCAGCGTATTAGAAACAAATCATGTCAAAAAGATTCAAAGGATGGCATTTAAATATTTGTTAGAATTGGTTGAGTTCAATTCTTTGGACAATGTTGTCCACTTTCACCAAAAGAGTAGTTCACCTCGATCGCCAAGAAATTAACGAATTATATTGAAAAAGTGTGCTTGTTTGCATTTTGCTAAGAAGCTACCCAACCTTTTTCCACTTTCTTTGTCATGGGGTCTCGCCAAACTACCTAATTCCACGTCTCCCTCCTCTACCTCTCAAGCTCATATATATAACTACCATGTTATCAAGCAAGAATAATTTTGTAGGCTTATTGATATATTTTTAGGGTAAATTATGCTTTTACACCCCCTTGGTTCAACATTCGTTCGCATAACCTTCTTGCGGCTTTATAAATTCTATGGAATCCTCTCACGGATTTGAGTTAAAAGTGTCCAAGTGATGGAATTTGTTTTCGGAGCTTACTAAAGTATAAAAAATATCTCTATGTCAGGTCGAAAATATTTATCAATCACATAAGGGTTATACATAGATTTTGAAAACTATAAAAGGTTACGTAGCCAGAACAAAAAACTAAACAATAGGGAATTATAATGTCATGCATGACACATTTATATATCTAATTGGCCAATTCAATCATTTTAGTTTCTAAACGAAGGAAATCTCGCCATTTCAGTTAGTTCTATTATAGAGGACGACATCCGCTTTGGCAGTTTAGTCTAAATTATGAGGAAGTTCAGAGTTGTGTATAGTTTTTGAATCTAGAGACTAGAGGAGGGTTATGTGAGAAAGTTATACGCCGAGAGGATAGAGTATAATTCATCCATACTTTTAACGAAATTGTCTAATCATTTTACATGTTATGTCTCAGCAATTTCCAAGGACATAGAGGTGATGGTTGAATTGATCATATGCTTTATACTCGCAATGTCCACATTCTGATTTTACCATGATATCGAGTGTTGATGAAACATTGAACAACAATTGCTTCCTGTAACATCGAACTGTGTCGCTGTTGTATATACGACAGACAACTTTTCATTATGTGTCGTACAATTTTTTCATGGTTGGTGCAACATTTACATGGCAATTCAACCTGAAGTCCTCTAGAGGACACATGATACATGATTCAAAGAAGCTTCTGCCCGACTTGAGGTTGTGGTTCAACATTATTTGACATATATTAATGCATTCTAGCAAATCCATTAGCTCCCGATGGCCACCATCAAATTGATGGCAAAGGGTTTTCATTAAAAAAACAAGAAAAGCAGTATCAAAAAAGTCTTGGCAAATCTCAGCGGTGGCAACTTGCAACCGCATATGCATCCTAGCAATTAATTAAGTAATGCAGTTGAAAATTCCACTACCACATACGTTTTTCTTTACAGTGCTTATACTGTTTTCTTTGGTGATTTCCTAATATACAAACGGATCTTTGGGGCAACTCATAAACGTTGGATAAGAGCTAGGGACAGCTAAACAACAAAGCTTCCTTGTAATCCATGTATTAATAATATTATATACGAGTTTAGGTTTTCTTGCCAAAGGATAAGAACAACACATGTAGAATCTAATGCCATTTTTTCTAATTACAGTTGTCCAGGTTTTTCTTGACTTGCTAACATGCTTATACAAACAGAAAATAATGAAGTTTATGACTAGGTTTACTCCATTTGATCCTGTTCACAAAGTTTGATCAAGTACTTACAAACATAGGGGGGGGGGGGGAAAGCCCATTTTCTCTAAACAATTTATGGATAATAATTAGTTTCTTTCTTTTTTTTTTGGGTGATTTACTTCTAACACGAATCCCAATGACTGGATGTGTTGATTTGCTCCTTTTGTTAATGGAAATAAAAATGTATACATCATCTGGGCCATGCATTGAAAAGAGAGAGCTTTTAGTGTTCATACTGATGTTAAAGTTTGTGGTACATATCACACAAGCCAATTCTTTTCCATCTTTACATAATTAGGAAAGTCCCAAGTGAAATCTGAATGCTGGCTAAGCTGGCAAGGAAACCCAGGTACAGGATTATGTCTGGTTTGAGCTGCATTATGTATACATACTTTTCCAGAGAGTGTGATGCAGATTTAGGGCCAGACATGCTTGAATTCTCTACTAACTACTGGAAATTGTTTTCCAATACTTTGTCACATTTGCCTGTATCTAGAGTTCTTGGCATGGCAAGGCAATTGGGCTAATAAGGCAAGCATTTTGCACCAATTTCCTTTTTTTTTTTTCTTTCTTTCTGAAAACAACCATAGAATTGATATCACATGCAATAGACACTATTGACTACGATACAAAAGAAATTACAGTACAGGAGCATTTCAATCGAAATAATTCCTGTTTCATAACTCATGCCAATTGCAATAAGCAAAGTGGCTCGAGAGTGCATCTACTGAGTAGAATGTATAAGAATTATTCCGAGCCAAACCTGGTATTTGATTGCTTAAGGTACAAGTAAATTATATGAACACATCCCTGGTGAATCCCTGAACCACTAACAAGAAATGCAAGCTTGTGTAACTTCGTCATCTATATTTCCCAAAACCAATTACGTGGAATCTGACGATGTACTTGAAAAAATCATGTCCCATCCCTTCCAGTAGACAACTAGATTAATGGGAAGTTAAACTTATTTTCCAGCTACATTAAAAGAAAGAGTCATCATTATTAACCAGACTGCTTAATTATGGAAGATATACTGTGAGATAAGTTACAGTATTAAGACTATCCAAAACAATGACAGATGAAGACCAGTTTTACCAAAAAGAAAAGCCAAAAAGGATTAAAAGTTTACACTCGTACAGTTAAACTTTGAGTTTTTGTTTTCTATGGTACTA